ACACACAATAATAATATATATCTGACCTGGACTTGAGAATAATAACAGAATGGGTGGAAATAATATTCAACAGCTCGTGTGCACAAAATACTAATAAGAAATTAAGATATTCATAACACGCACAAGTTTAATCAACAGAACGTAACAGCCTCTTAGTATTATATCGTCGTTGCAATACGTATAAACTTGGTCGATCTAAGCACGAACCAAGCGTCCATGAAACCAACATTTCCTTGGCAGCCTAAGGATTCCATTCCTTATGCTGCCTCTTGGAACAATTCAAACAAGGATTCCGCTTGGAACAATTCAAATAGAATTAGAGAGGAGTTATTTAATTAATTCAATCAATAATTTGAAAATACATGCAGCACTTGTATAGTTTACCTCCATGAAGGCTAGCTAGCAGAATCTTCAACTTGGGAGACGAAAGCAAGTCCGGTGATAAGTCTGTTAACAAAGAGAAGTTATATTAATAAGAGAATGGACATCGCGCCATCACACGTAAAATTGACACCGAAAAGAACGAATTATGACCGCTGGTATCAAGTGAAACTGAGCGCGTCTGACAGCCCAAAATGTCGCCAAACGTCGAGGCCAGTTACCACAGGAGGGAGAACGTCAAACCAGATTATAAACAACAATTAAAGACGAATAACATCGCAGAGAACACAACTTCTCGAACGAAAGTCTGAAATAGTAAACAGAGACGTGACAACTTCGTGGCGACGCAAGGCAGCGATGAACTCGCCAGCGTCACCAGTGGTAACTAGTTGAGAAACCAAGACTGAAAAAAAACACAATTCCAAGTTATCACCTGGCAGTCCGAGCCGTTCATGGCTGGCAGTCAGTATTATGAACACGATTTGAAGCGGCATGTAGAGTACTTGGAGGAATCACATTCAATAGTTCCTAAATCATATAGAATACGGGGGGAAAAGGTTGGGCGCAATATTGAAGCGCATGCCGGTGGCGAACATTGACCAACTTTACACTTTAGCTCATATTCCTTCCCGTGAGCAAGAACGCTAGAAGGCATTTCGGTCTATGAAATCAAGTGCTTAAAGCTACAGTACCGTATGTCCACAACATTAACTCTCTTTTTGTCTTCGTTTCCGATATTTGACTTATGCTTTCCGGCCATAGGGTCGGTCAGAAACCCTTGTCATTTTGACCCGAAGACTACAGGAGGGTCACAAGATCCTTACGATGTCACAAGTTCCTGATGATCTCTTAAGCATGCTAAGCTGAGCCAAGCATGATCCAACTGCACCTTCTCCGGTCTAACCACGTCACGTCGCAACACTTCTTGCAAAATGAACCTGAGCGGACTTAACCTAACCTCATTGGCTGCAGGCAGTAGCTAGGCGGGGCAAGTGAACAGGCAGAGGATATCATCAATCATTGGATATCATTGGTTGCAGGGATGTTGTGAGTCAGGGTAGCGTGAATAGGTTAGGCCAACAGAGGTTAGGCGGGAGAAGGTGAGGCCGGATGCAGAACTGCTTGCTCATGAGTATGCATGCTGAGGTATTGACTGAAGACCGACGGCATTATTATATTTAACTAGTGATTCACGTGGAACTAGTGATTCACTGGTCTAGATTACAGTGTTACAACGTATTTTGCAGCTTATGGCCCTGAGGCTGAATGTAGTTATTGCTTGCTGAGGCTGGGCGTTTACTCTAGAACTTATTCAAGAGTTAATATGTAGCCCTTGGCTGCGCCTCCACCATATTTTAGTCTTCCGAGTGTTAGTAAAACGACTGCGCTGGTTTCCAGAAGCAAATAATTGCGTGAATTATTTTGACAAAGCATCAATTAGACACAGGCTGTCGCCTGTCATAGCCCAATCATCAGCGACTTAGTAAATTTATATGTATATTAAATACAGAAAACGTTTAGTGTGCTAACTGGAAGCAAGTGACTTGATAGACGTAAAAAATGCGAATCAAATTCCGTCAAGAAAGAAGTCGCTCATTACCATTTCTGTTGCCATGCGCATCCACTTGGTCCATGGTTGAACAATATAAGGTTGACCCACGCTTTGTGAAATTTTGACAGTTCTGCACATCTTCACTGTAATGTCACAAGTATCGAAAAACGTTAACAAATGTCGTGAGTGTGATTAAACACGTGTTAAAAGTGTCTGTTTTATATAGCGGTTTCAGCATTTATTAGGCCGTTGGCCTGTCGCCGATTCTTAAAATCACAAAACATTTACAGTTTGTTACGGTCTCGAACTCTTAACTCGCTGCCCTTATTCTGTTGTGCCTAACCTCCCGGCCTCCTCGCCGATTCTGACCAGAAACTGGCACACATGCAGAGCTGGGATCGAACCCGCACCTCTCGGCTCCAATCTTGTTACTCTGATCTTTAAACACTGGGCCACCCTGCCCTTTGAACTATATTTAAAAAAAATTACCATTCCAAATTTTGTAGATATTTGTCCATAATTGCGAACTAATTCTGTCGTACGGAAAATAAATAATCTGAAAATAAAATCTCCGGAGGCTGACCGATCAACTTCCTGTCTCGCTAAACTGCGAAAGGCTGCCACTTCACTGATCATCCGTCTGAAACACCTACCGTAAGTCCGCAACACATTGCGTTTTCGTCAGGTGAGTGGACTTAGCATCTCTTTGATTGATATTATTCTTTGTTTTTAACTTTTTGATGCATCTCCTCAAAATTACAAATCGATATACGACTAGCTCTTTCACCGTAGGGTCATTTTATATCGGTTATAAACTTGAAAGCTAACAAGCATCAGGGTGGAAAATAAAAACGGCAAAAAATCAGACGCACGAATACTTGCTTGACAAAAACGTGATATTTTAGACGGGCACTTCACTTTTTATGACGTTCAGCCTAATGGTCGCAATTAACATCCATTTGAAGTCAGTCCACTCGGTTGGTCGTTTATTTTTCATTTACCTTATTAACCGCACGAAATAACTGCACTTAGACACCGGCAATATGTTTAGCATGACTAGTTGACACTGAACACTGTTTCAGAGGAAGAGGTAAATTTTTGTAAAAGTTCAAAAACGCGACTTGTTGAATAGAGTTCATGGAGCAATATTTACATTTTGAGCTACAAGTGACGTCACAGGCGGAACAATACACGACATCCGCATGGCTGAGATGAACGTGGGTCAACCTTGTATTAGTTCAACCTTGACGGTCGATCTCAGTACGAATCAATTATCGTACATTTCAAGGTCTGCATGAGGATGGCCCAAGATTATCACTCGACAGACACATTGATAACTCGGTCCCAAAAGCTTAAACGTAGTGAATGATTTCACAGTTGAAGAGAAGAGATACAAGAGGCGGTGTATAGAGCAGCTGAACTTTTTAGAACCTTAACTGGTTAGAACTTGATCGGATGAAACTGGCTAGAACAGGAACTTGTTAGACCCTGACCTGCTGGAATTGATTCGAACCGAACCTTTTAGTAAACCTGAACTTGTAGAACTGGTTCAAAGTTCGAACTGGTGGAACTGTTTAGAACCTAATCTGGTGAAACTGTTTAGAACCTGAACTAGCCTAATCGAACTGTTTAGTGGAAAGGAGTAGTGTAGTGGAGTAGAATCTGAATTTGTGGATCTGACAAAGATATGAAGATGTGTGTTCATATCGTATTAGGTCTAATTATATATAGTATAGGTCTTAGTGTCCGCCACTTTTAGTATTCTATACGACACGAAGCTATGGTCACGTAATTAATATCTTGAGGCTATAATGTTACAGTAAACACGCACTTGCGCATTCAAACAGAATTGTGATGTAGCCACAAAATTAAAATTACAATTGTAATAAATTGCACATAAAGAGAATGTCCAATAAACTGGGAAATACCAAATATTTTAGTGATAAAAAGACAAGGCGGAAGCAACTTATCGATTGTCAATTTCGCGCGAAAGAAAACAACATTAAATCGTAGTGTTTTAAGTTTAAAATATGTGTTAAGATATCTGTTAACGGTGTTAGATCAATTGGACTATACATTAATGTTTTATAGCGAGTATAATGGCTTCTGAGTTATTGAGGAGAAGCAATAACTCAAATGAACACAGACAGAAGCGGAGAGATGGTTGAGCAAGACAAGGCAGGCGCGTGGAATATTAAGATGAGCGTTCCTTTAACGTTCTGTTTACGAATGCTAAGAAAATAGTTCAAGACAACACAAAATATAAATTAATAAAGCAGTACCAAAACTCCAGACTGAATGAATATAGCAAGAAAGTATTACTCAGACTAGTAAACGAAACAACCACTTGAATTAAATAGAAGAATGGGAGGTAAATAATCAGAGAATTCGTTTACTCGTGACGTCAAGCAGGTCCGATTGACTTATTAGAAGATCCATCGTAAGAGGAAAAAATGGACATAACTATGACAGCTGCAAAGAAACTGCTATGCTAAAAGCTCTCATAAAGTGGGCATGGGTTTCAATAACGCAGGCTTAACTCTCCTACAGAAGCTCGATGGTCTTGAATAGCTTTCTCGAAACCTTCCATCTTCAAGATGGTTTGTATTCAAGATGGTTTGTACTCAAGAAAGTAACTCTAAGGGTGCCAAGAGTCATAATACAAAAAGTAAAGGCTGTGAAATAATTGGGAATTGTAAGACAAGTGAACGCAGTGTAATTCTCAAGAGATGTTGACAAGTATAGTATATAAATTATGAACATGACTTACGACAGAAGAGAGACCGGTCGAGACGCACGCCAAGTGTCCGGAAGACGTGGCGACTGAAGAGAAGCACCATTGCTTGGGATGGCTGCTAAAAGGTATACCACACACCGCCACCATTAGCATCCCAAACTATGTTTCTCACACACACTCGCATGCCGGTTGTCACAGATGTCTTTTGGAAGGCTAAGGGTGCGCTTCTAGGTCTCAATGCCTCACGACTTCAATATGAATTTTACACACAACAAATAATATTCATCAATTTTTCTTCAAGTAGCTAATGTTTGTTACAGCGTTAAGTAATCAGAGACACGGAAAAATTGCAGTAATGATACAAATGCATTCCATTTCAGTCTTTTCCATAATTTAATTTATTTGAATTGAATTTCACAACATGAAATACATGATGTATTTTGAAAAGCCAACTAGTGTTTATGAAAACTAAATATCTATTACTTTTTGGAAGACGTGGATTATGAGGCGAAGGTGCGGCACCTCACGACGGTAAAACATCAGAGCCTCTGACCTCACAACACACACAACACTCGCGCGTTTACTCTACTCGGTGTTCTGTCAGCAAACGAAACCAACGCTCTCGTCGAGATCAGGTCAAGATTTGCCCGTAACTACAATGTGCCGCTGAACGAAATTATTATTGCAACTAATTCCGTACATCGTCTCAACCAAGCGCTGAATATTAAGAAAAATAAATTAATTCCAAACGTTTGTTTGTCGGACCCTTGAGTGTCGCGAGGCTTCATCAAATTTGAATAATGAATCAAATTTACTGGGTTTATATCCATCATCTGTTGGACATGAACAGGAAATTTTAATCGGGCATTTGAAATAATTTTGTATATTGACAATCAAGAATCAAACGATGCACTCGACCGACATTACTTAGGAGCTGGACACTTTGGTTTCATTCACTGATAGGACACGTGACTAAATTCTATTGCTTGTTTGTCAACAACATTTAAAAACAAGCAATAAGAAGGAGCCATTAGGCTAGGGGCACATTGCTCATCAGATACATGTAGAAATGAAACGGTCTTCGTATTAAGGTAGCATTGCAGTGACTCATGACATGTCGGATGTTAACTCAATAGTTAAATTCTCACCTTAATGCATGACGATCACTTCTTCTCATACAGAAATCTTGGAGATAATCTTCAGTAGACGACGGTAGCACAAAACAATCCACATAGCATCAAAAATCTCTTGCATTTTAATTTGGGTTCAGACAAAAAGAAAGATGCGACAAAAGCAAACGTCCTAATCACTTCACATATGGCAATCACTTCAACAGCAACAGGAGTTCGTTCGATAGCAGAGCGACGATCAATTCGACCATTACTCGGATCACAAGAATGAAATTCTGTGTCCAAGTTATCCTCTGTGTCACAAAATATTTTATGCAACAATGGCTCCATTTGAACGAAAATTCCGCGACTAATACCAAGCAATTCCCCTCATGCCGTTGCGAGAAAATACAGAATTGTTAAGAACTCGACTCGTGATCTCAAGGTTCATCCAGACTTACACACAACTGTAGAGATAACGCCGGAAGAAGATGACCAAGTTCGACGCATTTGTATCTTGACGAAGCAGCCAGTAGAACAAGCTACATAAAATCACATGTAGATTAACAGATTAATGAAAGAACATTTTTCCAGGAGCTGCAGTAACGGCACACCCATGTCAGAGTCCAACGCAATTTACCGGAACACGATGATCTTTGCACGTTTGGGATTCTTGTAACTTATTCAAGAAGGTAGAGAAGTAAACGGTGTGCAAGGGAAGAGCCTATTCCCTATCAGTGATACTGAGAACGCGTCTTGTTCTTTAATACTAACGTAAATATTACCAAGACCTGCACATATGTTATGCTAACTAAACTTGTACAGGCTGTCATTCATGAACAATATCACGTCAGTTGACATAAATTCCTATACTGAAAATGAACTTGATTTTCTTCTTCATGATAAACATCTTTTTGTTGAAACAAATCAGTTTTGAGTAAGAAAAACCCCTTATTATTACAAGTTTAGAAGAAAAAAGAAATCAAGAGGCATTGGATAAAAAACAAACAATTATTAAAAACTTAAATCAAAACACTAACGTCGCTCCAAAAAGTAAAAGTCTTTCACAAGTGTCTCAAAATTTGAAAGCTTCATGTTTACTCAAAAAAGTTAACTTTGTCAAGAAAAAAAAATATATATATACAAACATGGCCAATTTGACGCATAAAATGATGCATTTACTGAATTAAAAAACTAGGACATCTTCCCCTAGAATTAGTATTGTCAGGAAATGGACTGGATCATTACAATAGCAATTTGAGAAAATTTTTGAGGAAAAATTTGTTTTCAAAATAAAGAGAATGAACTTCAATTCTGAAATGTGTAAAAAAAATCTTTCTGAATGAAATTTAATTAACAAAAGGAGCAATGTGCGTTGCAAAGAACGGTTGATTGTGCCGTTGAGCTTATAGGTCATTGTATTTAATAAATTTTCAAACTGAAAACATCGAAATAACTTGTGTCTTCAACTGGAATTTGATTTCATAATCCACAACGTCAAATGGTTCATCCTAGGCACAACCTGAGACTTTCTGCCAACATTTTCTAGGTAAAAATTGTTATGATTTTTATGCAAACATTAGTGGGATCTTAAATGCATTTCAAGATCCCAAGTTGGGGGGATTTGATGCATTGAAATCTCTCCCGAACATGTAAATTTTGCAAAAAAAACATGAAAACCTACTTGGAAGCTAGAATTTCCAAGACGATGTGAATTATTACTATTTATTAGTCAGAGTGAATTGCTCCGGAAGACATCAACAGTTCTAGGCAGGGGCAGCGCAGCAGCAGGTGTGGTAAGCACTCTGCCACGGGGCTAATGAGAGTTGTCTTCCCCTTAAACAGTGCTCATTAAGCAATGTGTGCTGCTTAGCTTTGAAGGATCATTAGCATTTCGTGGTCATTGGCTTAGAATTGCACAGTTTGCAAGCAGGATTTGAGTCATCTATAGGCAATGCTTCTCACGTCAGAGACACTGTGCAAGCGAAGTGAACTCATAGCTGAAGGATAGTACTCGGGCTGTCGTTAGTGGTTGACGTTAGGGAGGAGGACAAGGAGATTCAACATCTGATTAAGAATCAGAAAGTTAGTTGCGATCAAACGTAATGGCATTGTTAACTCCCACATACACCAATGATATGCAAACATTGATTTCATCAACCACTCAAAGACAAGCGCATGTGCAACGCAGTTTCCAGCTCTGCAATTATGCACAAAAAAAAAAAAACAGTATAATTACCAGTACATTTGTTATCAAAAGCGTACAGAAATGAGAAGCAGAATTGCATTGCACATTACGAGCAAAGGAAGAAGAGTTGGAGCCTAAGCAGGCATTAGGATTGAAAGAAGGGGCCTTACCAGTAGCAGATGAGAGCTGCTCGACGCTCGGCTCTCTGGTGTAAGTGAAGGTGTGCGGGTCTGAAGACTTTGTGCCCGAAACAACCTTGAGCAAAACTTTTATTGTAGAGCTGCTGATGCTCGGCCCAGTGTACGGTGGCACATGGCAGATCAGATGATGCTGATGTGAAACAGATTGGTAATCAATATTACGTAAGGTTCACAATAAAATTAATCAAAAGCAATGAGCAGAAATACCATTACTGAAACACACAAATATAAATTCTTTTGAACTAAAAAATACATAGATTGGAAGTGATAAAGATGACCAAGCTTCTCACCTGACTAAAGGTACCAGTTTCTGGTGAGACCGTCGCTGACCAGACAACGTGGCTGGAGTTGTCGCCACTCAGTTCATTGAAGACGACTGAGGCGTTTTTTTGGAAGTTCTTGCCGATAATGAACATCTCAGACCCGCCAGACACCGAGCACCGCGTTACAGACGTGCGGGTGATATCAGGCGTTCCAGGGGACTGAGCTGCACAAATCGTACCATCAATAAACCAGGGCCCATACTTTCAAAAAAGTTAAGAGATCGTATGTTCATGAACCAATCATTGACGGCCTTTTAAGTAAAATCCACCAATCACGGAGAAGAAAATTGAGCGTGAGTACTTACGTTCACTTAGCGATTTTTGAAAGTATGGCCCCTGAACACTTCGACTTTAAGCTACCTAATGAATTCCAGACTTTGATGGAAATATGAGGACTATAGGAATAAGGAACATAAAAAAATTTAGGTAGGACCCATGCATTACATTTTGATGGATATAATGCACTGACACAATCGAGCCTGTGGCTGAAGAGAAAAAGTAGTTTGCTGAAAGAAGAGGATCCGACTATGAGAGTCCGCACTAATAGACAATTAAACGGTCACACATACCATAGATAATACACGTGATACCAGGAGGCATTCAGTTCCAAACTCCGTCATATACCATGAAATAAATTGTTTAATGGTTTTCCTTTAGACAATCTCTCGATGATCAGGTCAGATCTCCTAGGTCAATAAATTTGAGTGAAGCTTTGTAGTTTTGAAAGATTTTCATAATTTGTAGGGCACATCAACATTCAATCTAATTAGTGCATCAAAAAAAGAAATTTGTTCATATACTCTACTGTAATTGTTTACCCATGGTTGACCCATATTGTCAGTATTAATGCAGGTAATGAACTCACTGCAGATGATGGGTTGACTTGCTATCTGAAGGACCTCAAAGGACCCATTCTCCAGCCGCACGATGGCTCTGAAGACCATCCGAACCTTCGCTGGTTTCTTCTTGCCATTTATGCCCGTAGGAGCGCACTTGCTGGAGAGTTTTTTGCCATTTTTGCCCTTAGGAGCCAACTTGTTGGAGGGTTTTTTCAGAAGACGCTGCGTCACATCCACCTTACGTTTTCTCAGGATGCCTACACAGTCACACCTACAAACCAATTGCAACTTTGATGTGGAGTTTATATGTGGTCTAGCTGTAAACCCTGTAGTTTAGATGAAAATCGTGTGGTTTTCATGAATAGTACCAATTGATGTTGACATGGAAAAGAGTTGTTGGGACAGGTGTTAAATGAACATGCAGTAGGCCCTTTTGAATAGGCTAAAAATCCCTAACATCTAGAAATCATGGATACAGAGAAGCAATAGTGCACGACAAAAAGAAATGTCAAAATTTGCTAAAATGATATTTATTAAAAATATAACTCAGTACTCACTGCAGTGAGTTACAGAGAGCACATTTTCTCAAAATTGACAAAAACGTGAAGTCACGGACGGACAGACAGACATGACTAGCACAATAGGGCATTTTTTCCATAAATGAGAAAATGCGCTAAAAAAATGAAAACACCGAACACAATGAAGTTAAATGTTATTTCTATTACTTTTATTTCTTTCTTATTTCTATTAAGCATTAGAGTAGTAATATTCGTACACAAGTCTCATGTTGGTGGTCTGCGAGAGAGGCACCTGGATGACAGTCGTGCCACGTATATTGGTCTCCGTGATATTGCTGATCGTCTTGCTGGCCACCTGACATGCCTGTAAATGAAGTTGCGGCTTTACAGGCCCGCTTTCAGTCGCCAGAAACACTTGCACCACACAGGGCTCCTTGCAGCCAAGCACCTGTAGAGGAGGTGATTTATTAGCCATTTATATTAATTTATTGAATAATGTACATGCGGCCATTACTGTCGCTCCCCACAAAACACTTGCACCACACAAGGCTCCTTGCACAAGTAGAAATAGTACCAATTTAATACTTGCTCATGCTAATTTATGAATAATAGACATGCAGCCACACTGGCGACCAATGTTGTTGCTCTCAACAAACACTTGCCCCATGCAGGGCTCTTTGCAGCCTTGCACCAGTACAGGTGTTTATTTTATTTAAATTTGATCAATAATATGCAAAAAGATCTTTAATAGAACTCTAAGCAATAGTAGGTTTAAATCAACTTTCTGGTGCTTCAGTTTGATTTCAAAAATGCGAATGCCAAAAATTAACTAAGAAAAAATTAAAATAGCAATGGCAAGAGCTTGACACACTTGGAAAGCAACTAAAGGACTGAAGATCATCAAGTTATTGGGATCAGCTCGGACAATAAGGTCTACAAACCTCAATGATTGGATGACCAGATCCTTCACGGTCTTTGACTGCTCCTCTAGAGCCTTCAGTTGCATACCGCGCTCGATGCTCATGCTCAGGCTGCTTCACCAACACCAGCTTTATGCTTCCATCTGAAGATACACTTTGCAGTTCAGCAGTAAGACTTGTACAAAGATACTGTGCTGATAGTGACAGTATATCCTCCTGAGATTTATTGGTTCCATCAAACTTTTGATCTTCAGAGGTTGGCAGGTTGATGTCGTCGTCAATTATGAGAGAAACATGGCGGCAATTATTTTCAAAGAGAATTGACGGCATACCTTTTGAGTCAATGATGGTCATTTTCTGGACAGAATCAAGGCTAGTTTCACAATCGCTACTACTTTCATCATGCAGTAGCCTTTCTTCAGTGCCGCTGATATCACCAGTGCGCAGCACATCATCGGTGCTGCACACTATGTATGGTTGCAAACAACAGAAATTGGTAGGAAGTTCATGCGTGACAGCCGCAAGAGAAAGATCATTGCACAGGTTTGTCAGGTCACTGGTATTGGAGGCATTGGGACATAATGTAAAACTTGAGTTAGAGGGTGACAGTGTGGAACTAGAACTAGTTCTTCTGAGACGCAAGCTTGCAGGGCTGCTGGCTTCATTAGAGTCTTCAGTTAGAGAGGCTTCAGATGTCACTCTAAAGAGGCTGATGTTGTCTCCCATAACTCTAGGGTGTGCCTTAGTTGGAGTGGTGCTGCCCAAGTCTGTGGTCGGCTGAGAGTGCTCCTTCAGAAATTCCTTGAGATCATCAGATGCCTTGCAAGGTGTTGAGCTGGCTATTGCCCTGAAATGCAAGCATTGAAAGTATTTAAATCTTGCTTCAATACCTACAATAGATAACGGAGTTCCAAGCAAATACAAGTCTAACAGAAGGAAAAAGCATGGAAAATTAGAATGTTTCTTAAAAATTTTAACTTTAAAAAGAGGAAGAAATTAGGCTTAAGTACAGCACATTATCACCTTGCATCAGCTAGGGAAATGCCAGAGAAGCTTGTGATGGGCTGGTTTGCAGCAGCAGAGCTGTCCCCAGGCAGTTCCTGCGTGGACTCATCAGCAGGGAACTGGGGTAGACAACCAACGGTATGCTGATTGTAAGAAAAATTAAATTAATTAATTTTAAATTAATTAAAAATTAAAAATTAATTAATTAAAATCAACTTAAATGGTGGTTGAATCAATAATATCTATTTTTTATAACTATATAATATCATCAAATGGAGCATGTATAGTTGATTCTTGCCATTGCCGCAATAGAATTAATTTTGCTGGAACAAGTAAGTGTTAAGAAATCCTAAAGCTAGGTATATACAGGAGTTGGACCAAATAAGGAAAATGCCTGACATTTTGAACATGTTATAAAGAATGAAAACATGACATATTTTTACATTTTATTGTTGCTGCTAATTGATATTTCATCCTTGCACAGATATTTCAAGTACATTTTAGTGTCTATAACCTAACCTATAAATGGCAAACCTCTCAGTCTTTCAAAGAGGCCAAATTGTTGGTGCCCGTCTGGCAGGTGCTAGTGTGACCGAAACTTCCCAAATAATTGACGTTTCTAGAGGTACTGTCTCAAGAGCAATAACAGCTTTCAAAAGAGAAGGAAAAAAGTCCTCAGTAAAGCACAGGTCTGGCTGAAAATAAAGTTGTGTGAAAGAGGCCGTTTGTACCTAAATTGAATTGTGAAGGACAATCAAAAGACCACAACTATTAAAATAACTGCAGACCTCAATGGACACAGTATAGAAAACCCAGTTTCCATAAAGATTGTCTGCCAGGAGCTGCACAGATCAGGATTCTACAGAAGAGCTGCAATTAGAAAACCTCTGATTTCAAATATAATTTCTTCAAAGCATTTAGAGTGGTGTAAAAACCTCCAGCAATGGTCCCCAAGCAATGGAAAAACATGATTTTCTCTGACAAGCCATTGTTTACCTTATTTCCAACATCTGGCCAAGTTTATGCAAGGAGACAGCCAAAAGTCATTTCATCCCAACTATAAAACATGGTGGGGGATCTGTGATGACCTGGGTTGATATTTCTTGGAAATCAGGTGGATAAATGATTTCTATTCATGGAAGTTTCAACAGCCATGACTATTTAGGAATTTTGGAGAACCAAGTTCACCCAATGGTTCAAGCACTGTTTCCAGAGATGAACACTATTTTTCAAGATGATAATGCTGCAATCCATACAGCTGAACTTGTTAAAAATGGCACAAGAAACATTTTAATGAAGGTGCACATCTCATTTGGCCACCACAATCACCTGACCTAAATATTCCCGAGCATTTACCGTCAATTTTAGGGATGTAAGTATGAAGTATAATCCCGCTGCCATCGTCTCTAAAGGAGCTGGAGGGTGTTTTAACCAAAGAATGGGTTGAAATTTTTTTCAAAAACAATCACAATTTGTATGAATCAATACCTTATAGAAATGAGGCTGTAATTGCTGCAAGTGGTGGGCCTACAACATACTAAAATATATCTTCTAGATCTCTCAGGTGTTTTCCGTATTTTGTCAATCTCATGTATATAAGCTCCAACTGTATTTATTCAAATGAGTGAGTATGTGCAAGTCAAAAAGGCTACAAGAAATAAGTAACTACAAGACTAGATGAAGCACCAATGAGACCTTACCTGTTTTATTCTGCTTCCAATAGGAAGTTTGGGATGTGAATGTCTCTTGGCCACCACTGCAGCAGATGGTTTTCTGATAGCTCGCTTTTTGGCTGGAGGTTTCATTGCTTCACATTCAGAGACATCAGATCCTGGCAGGCATTGTACTTTATTTGGCCGTGATGATACCAATTGGATATCTCTCTTAACTTGCAAACTCAAGCACTTTCTTCTCACTATTTTAGCACCAGTACAAACTCGCGCTGGAGTCCCGTTTTTTCTGGCATCAGTAAGTTTCTGAATTAAGGAACCATCTCCTGAATTGGAAATCAGTCGTTTTTGAGTGCTGCCATCAGCACCCCTACTAAAAATAAATAATGGTGAAGAGATCCATTTGTCAGTAGATATTATATTAGAGCAGGTGAGTAAAGTCTCGGCTGGAGTGTGAACTGTTTTGAGACCAGTTGAGGTGCTATCTCCTGTAATACTTTCAACAAGATCTTGAGTGCAGTCAGGTTCCACATTAGGCTTCTTTTCCTGAACTGAGTTATCTTCCTCTTTAACATTTTCTCCTGAAGGCATGCATTTCAGAACCTCATTTTTCAGCATTACCAAATTCTTCTTGCTCTGGCCCCTGCCAAATGCAGAACCTTGTGGCCCATCGCGAGCTGAAATAGATTAGCTCACATATAAATAAACATCATATAGAGACAGCACTAAATTAGATAAGAGATCATTCCACCTACATAAATGCTTATTTATGTATTCTATTACCAGAAAATTAACACTGCATTAGAAAAATGAATGAAGTGGGATTAATGAAATGTAAGAAGGTTCAATTAGGTCATATTTATCAATTTGTATTTAAATTTGAGTAAAATTATTAGTTTATATACTCTATGCATATATATAATACAATTAATTGTTTGATTACTTTTTCAGGATTTTTAAAAATATTACTAATTATCTTCACAACAACAATCCATGTCAACTGTGAACAAATACAAGTGGAATAGGCTCTAATTTTTGAACTAACTGCTTTTGTCATCTTTCCGATGAGTGATTGCAGAACGCGAAGTGTAGGTCTGTTGGCTGTTCTTGCACTTCTTCTGTTGCACTCGAGCCATTTATAAAAGAAATAATGCTAAGGACTATATGTATATCTTATTTGTAAGAAATTTATAAGAAGAAATAACAACAAAGAAGAAAAGATTGCTAAATATTTATTGTGATAACATATCACATCAAAACTTGAGTCTCATACCATCAGCTCCCCCTGCACAGAAATAGCAACAACATATAGATGGCCTATGCATTATAGCCATGAAAGACAGAGTCACCCATTATAAAATCCTGTGAATATGCAAGTAAAACTGCCAAAAGTAAGGGCTGAGCATAAAAGGAAGCTTGTACAATCATGTGTATGTTTACAGATGAGTAAAATAATCATTGCAAAGTACCACAGATTTTACTATGTATGCACACCAATTCAATTATGAAGAATATACCTACAAGTCCCAGGTCAGGCATCAACAATGGCCCAACAAAAGATGTAAAGCAAACAGGGTTGGCAATGATTAAATCAAAATGATTAAATCACGTGATTAAATCACTTGATTTTTTTATAAAAAAAATCATGATTTTTTTATTTTTTCGATTTTTTTTCATATATTTAAATATATTGAGTGGCAGTCTTTAATTTATATTGAGGTATTGTTATTCATGGTTTAGTATAAATGTACTATGAATGACAAATTGGTATATAAACTTGTTGCCTTTAGTGTGTATTAGGTTCCAATAAATTGAATGTTTGGTACAGAGGCATTAAATGTGCAATACATTGTATGTAGCTAGCAGCTTAGCTAATTCTTATAAGGCTATAAGTAGTCTTTAACTATTTGACTATTTGTTATATATTGATTACAATATACACTTTAAATGTGTTAGCTAGCTTATACAGGGTGGGGCAGAACTGATTGAACAGTTGTGAGGTGAAACAAAAGAGTAATGGAGATACATAAAGAAGAAAGTTTATTTTCCTCAAGATTAGCATAACATACCATTTAAAATACTTATGTTTTGAAAACAAATCAGGAAGATGGGTTTGTTAGCTGCATCACACTGTTGGAGTCATTCTTGGAAGTTTTCTACAGCATGTTCACACATATGGTGAGGTACGGCCATAACCTCTGCTGCAATAATCCAATCACTTAGCTGTGGTAGGGTGTGAGGGCGACTTCTGAACCCCTTTCTTTTAGATGTCCCCAAAGAAAGAAATCGCAAATGCTCAATTCAGGTGACCTTGCAGGCCACTGTAAATCACCCCTCAGAGTCTGGGAACATGGGTTTCAAATCATTGAGTGACATTCGGGCTGTGTGAGCTGTAGCCCCATCCTGTTGGAATCACATGTCTCCCAATGCTGCATTTTTAACAATGTTTTCCATCATGGGCTGCAAGAAATTTTGCAACATTGCAGCATAGCGATCGGAATTCACTGTTACGGTTACTCCCTCTTCTGAGAACGACCAACAGTGTGTTGCAGCTAACGGTCCCCATCATCCAGATGTTGTTTTCAAAACATAAGTATTCTAAATGGTATGTTATGTTAACCTCTAGGAAAATAAACTTTCTTCTTTATGTGCCTCCATTACGGTACTCTTTTATTTTACCTCAAAACTGCTCAATTGGTTCTGCCCCACCCTGTATATTGAGAGGTTGAGATTGTATTGAACTTTTAGGCAATTAGAAAGATTTTCCACCCTAATACGAGTATTGTAATTAAAATATTTAATTTCAATCTTTAAATATGTGAATTTAAAACTAGAAACAAAACAATTACAATTATAAGACTATTCATAAAATAATTAAATGCTGTGAATGGATATAAAATATTTGAATTGTGCACATGTTTATTCCAAACAGTGTTAGCTTTTCTCATAACTTAAGTCTCGTTTCAAGTCACATGAGGTTTGTTTAGTTATCATTCAGTTTATGTTTAGTATTGACTTATTGGTGTGAATTAAATGGGAACAGTGCAGTCAGTCACTTAGTCACTACTAGTTGATGTGTATAGAGGGTAGAGTCTGGTTGATATAATAGGACATAAAACTAGTAGATTTATTTATAGTGCTGTGCACTGTGCTATCAGCTACCTACCTATCTGTTATGTGACTCTTCAATGTTTAGAAGATCTGCATTCCTGAAGTGTTTTTGTATATTGAAGCCAGTTAAATGGTCAATATTTAGCTCATTACCTTGCTCCATACAAAATTTACAAAGCTATAATAAATAGACTTATCAATAATTGTTTACCCAAAAATTTCTAAGTGGCAAACACCACCTTGGCCTGATGGCCATTATTGAGGGCAATAAGTGCCCTTTTTAGCCATCCATTATGATCCATATATGGTTATTGTTAGTATACTAATTGCAACATAAAAAATAAAACTTCAAAAAGACAAAAAAGCTGAAAAAATAAAAAAAAATCAAATAAATAAAAAAATCATGAAAAAAATCAAATAAATCATTGATTTTTGATTTTTTTATTTTTTTTTTAAAATAAAAAAATCACCAACCCTGAAAGCAAATGCATGTTGTGTAATCAGAACAATTAAGCTGAAAGATTTTAATATTAAATAGAAACTTTTCAATCTTATGGCATGGGCTTTTTCTCATAAACATGTCTCTTTTGCTAATTTTTCACTTTGGAAGGCAGGTGTTCCTGACATTTTTTGAGCTGCCATCTTTTCTCTACCGTTAGCTGAAAGATCTTCCATATAATTTTCAATATAGATGCCTTTTGAGCTGTAAAATTTGTTGGCTTTGTGTGCCACTAACATTTATGAGAAGCATCTCTCCTCTCCACCTTATAAAGGTAGATGTTTTTAGTGCATTTTTTCATTTATGAAAAAAAAGGTGCTATTGTGCTCGTCATGTCCATCCATCCATTCATCTGTCTGTCTGTCTATCTGTGACTTCACATTGCTGAGTATACATGATACTCAGCATCCAGAAAATGCGCTCTCTGTCACTCACTGCAGTTGATTCATTTTTTAACAATGAATTTATTTTTCTATGAGTGGTAGTTTCAACCACCTTATTTTAACATAAATTCACTTTGATGAAAATTTCTCTATTACCGTCAACCAGGGCTACTTGGGACAGTTTTGAGCGTTTTTTGTTAATAACTGTTACAATAATTTCTTACAATGAAACATTTCATAAACAAGTTTAGGCTCATTTTATAGCTCTTTGCGAGGGCTATCGAATGGCATTGTCAAAAAAATTCCATGTGCTATTTCTAAGGTGCCAGACGCAAAAAAAAAAAAAGAGTAGCCCCGTCAAATGGGGCTCCTGGGGACACTTGCAATAAAACTTCATTTTAAAATATTTGAAGCATGCAGAGTGTACTCATTCATTACTAACAGTACTCTGAAGTCCTCCTCTTTCATTGTAGATGATGTAGAGGTAGAATAAATGACATTGTCAGTGATTTTTACTTGTGGTCCTGTCTTACCCCATGTCCAGTCCTTTTTTACCCCATTTTGGAATACATGTCAGGCAGACTGGCAGTGATGGTAGCAGGTAGGAAGGCCTAGTATGTCTCAAATGTTGCTTATTACTTGAGGTTACCTTCCTACATCCACAAATCTGGCCAAAATTTTTTTTTTCATTTGACAGAGCTCATTTCCCAAACAGGGTTAACTATTTTGTGACCATTCTTTACATAGGTTTTCTTTAAAAATTAGCCAGAAATTCAATATTCGCAGAATAGGGTTGCCACAAACACTGAAATGACAGGCAATGATTGCTCTAACATATTCTTTTGTCAAATTAAATTCAGTGCAATTAGAATGCACGCCATGGGCTGGTCCTTTCTTACCCATGCAGGCTGCGATCCTGTCTTACCCCATTTGACTATACATTCTGACGCATCTAACGGTACCAAAACCATTTTTGTACGCTGATTTATGCATTCACAACAAATTGCGAAAGGGTTAGGGGTGGTGGAGTTCTTCAACTTTTGCAACCTTGCACCCTTGAATGTCTATTTCCAGGCGCACGCAACTTTGTCGGGCTCTACTGAAAAGTCAACTTATGGTCGCAGCAAACCTATCTCCTCCTAGCGTTTTGAATACACAGCAGTGAGAGATTTGCCATTCAAATGTCGAATAAAAGATCTACAATGATGCAGACGTTTTTTCCAATTTCGTTATAGTTTGGATTTTATTCTGCAAAAAGGTAGGGTTGCATGGTATAATGAAAAAAATTCTCAATAAGTTCATGAAAAATGCTCTCATACCCACAAAAATGAGAATTTCAAAAAAATGTCTGCATCACTTTTAGATATGGTATTTATGCATCGAATGATATGTGTCTCAATGTGGTAGCTTGAAAATCCTAGGAGGAGATAGAATTCTACAGTACCCCCTTTTTCGTCCATTTTCTAAGAATTTCACATTTTCTTCCATTTTTTTCAAAAAATTCACACAAACAAAAAAAGTCTTAGAATTCTGTTTTACATACGTGTACCCAATTATGCATCAATCTGTTGATAAATAACAGAGATGAAATTTGGGGCAGACACTCTCCGTAAACCAAACAAACCAAAGCTGTTCATCCCAACCTATCTCCCTCCTCTGCCCTGCAGTCAAGATCCTAGACCATCTTGTGCTCTCATACATCTTAGGATCTCTCATCATCGTCCCCTCGCAACATGGTTTCAAACCGGAACATTCCACAGTCACCACCCTCCTCCCGCTCACACACCAGATCGCGACGGGTTCTAACTCTCAGCGCCCTCCAGTTCGCACAGTTGCCGCTGCAGCTGACCTATCAAAGGATTTCAACAGTGTTGACCACCGTCTCCTTCTAAGCATGATCACGCTGTTGCCGGGAGGCTTTTGTGGCTTGTGTAGCACAGCCTATCTGTGCTTATTTATCCTTGTCATTTGCCTCCGGCCTTGCTTTTACCTCACCTCAATGTCTTTGTCCTCTTCTGTTTCTGTCTCTGTTACAGATATTCATTAACTATAAGCTGAGCCCAATGAATGATACTCAGCTGTGTAACAGAGCGGTCTGACAGTCCTGATCACTCGTGCTTAGCCATGCTGGTTAGTGAATGTTCACCCTTGTATATATATATGTTTTGTCTCTTTTTTAATTAACTTGTGTTTTGTAAATAAGGCATTGGTTCTTGATTGATTATGATTCTTTGATTCATTACATTAACTTCTGCATTTTCTCGTGATTCCTATTTTAAACAAATAGTCAACGTTACTTACTTAATAGTCTGTTATTGCATTCTTTAACTGTGTTCACCTTGCAAACCCTTTTGGTTCTTAGGTTTTACTTGACTTGTTTTGATTCCATTTAATCATGACTATATCCCTTGCTTGCTTTGTTAAGGTTAACTTATAAGTCCCTTGCTGTTACTTTACCTGCAATGCTTGATCACAAATTAATCCTTTCAATCACAGCTTCTTAAATTATATATCCTTTGCTATTTTATTAATTTCATTTATTTTTTACAGCTGGCACGGTAATGTCAAGTCCACATTAACCCGGCCTGTGCTCTTTCCCT